GCGCCACATACAGGCCTGGCATTTGTGCTACAGCGTTTTGGGTCGTTCCAGTGACATCCAGATAAGATAAGATAAGATAAGATAAGATAAGATAAGAGGTAAGCATTGGGTTCCCTGTTGAATCCATCATCATGGAATCCAGCCAGCGACCAGATGGCAGTTTGCATTTATACTCTGAGACGTGCTCTGATTTACATCGATGACCAACCATTATGTAAGCACCCAGTGGCTCATTTGGGGCCAAATCTGACACAGAGGCTTTCCTGTCTGGGACGGATCCAAACCTCACTAAAGTTCCTACATTTTACAGAAATAGTAAAGACTCATTATGTAAGATGTGGCATCAGCACTGGTCTAAACATCCTGAAGTTACTGACTGTTTTTATTTAGTTTGCTGAGAAAAACGAGATTAATTTTCCCTCATATCCAAAGGGAGACATTTGGCACAAATTATTGTATATTCTTTCTAAATCAATACACAGCCAATTAAACTGTAAAAAAACTGAAAGGCTTTTACTTTATTTAGTTGTACTCAGCAATATTTTGTCTCATTACCATCAAATGCCATAAAATGTAACAGGGTTGGATGTATTGCTAATCCCTCTGCTCCCAACCCCTGACCTGTGTGAGGCTACCTCGCAGTAATGAACTGTCAGATCAGATAAAGATGATGCAGTAAAAAGTAGAATATTTCCCTCTTATGTGGTGTAGAAGTATAAATGAGCACAGCCTGACTCGCAGTACGTTTGCTTGCTGCAGAGAACCAACATGGTGACGACCATATTCCACAGACCAATGTGTGAGGTCTCTGTAGGTTGGGATATACTCAAGTAAAATCCAAACTGGATGGAGGAGCTGGAAAGTAAAATACAATTAGCTCTAAATTGCATTTAAGCACTTGAGTAACTGTAGTTCAGCAGGTGGTGGATCACTAATGCAATGAACAAGGTTTCAGGCACTGATTATTATACAACACTGCCTGAATGTGCCTAGGCAGGATGTGATAATTACCTTCCATGAACACCTTTCTTCCTCGAGTTAGGTGGGAAATGAAAGATGATGTTTTGGACATCCAAGGGTCTTTTGATTTCCTTCATAGATGATGGCAATCAAGGCCTTAACTTTTTTAGAAAATATCTGGTTCTTTGATGAAAAGTTGAAGGCCTCTGGACTACTGAGGTGGATCCTTTTAAGATACAATCTATCATTGAGCTGTTTGCCAATAATGGAGCCAAAGAAGCTACAAATAAATGCTGTATCTGGTTTCTGTTATTAGTTTAAATGCATTCACTTTCACATTCTGGGTCAGTGTCGGATGACTCTCGAGGGGCCCTATAGGCAGGATATTCTTGTGGGGCCAATAAAATTGAAACTATAAACTATATATAGGTTAACTTTATGTGTTATTTGTTTTATGAGGACATAGTGTACAGAATGCATTGCAGCATGAGAGCAGGTGAAAGTTTTGATCTCTTCGTTCATGCATGATGTCCGGGGCAGTTCAGTAAATCGGCTACCTTTAAATGACCGGACTGTTTTTAGTCTGCTTGTGAAATAAAGTCCCGTTGAGAGGGTTGACCTCTCTCTCTCTCTGACAGTTCTCCTGTGCACACTCCCCTCTCTCTCGTTTTGCTCTCTTTTTTTGGTTTTGCAGTCAGTGATTCTGTACTGGGTCAGAGGCATTGATTGGCTTTATGTCTCCCAGCGACTTTCTTTATATCTAAAAAAAGTATTCAGCACATAGGTGGCGGGACGTTGCTGGTATTTGTCCCCAGTTTGTAAAAAAAAGTTATTAAAACACTGACATATAAGACTGCAAAACTGGGCTGGTAGTATTTGCAAATTGGCACTTTGCTGCTGATGGACCTCAGGCAGTAAGGATTATTATGAAACTAACGTCAGCCACAGAAGAGGTACAGATTTTGCAATCAATACTGGCCAACAGACGGGTGAGACAACTACGTAACTGTGAATTTTGAGTAAAATATTCCTTATTCCATTCACTCTTAGATATGCCTTTGCCATCCTAAATCTGCTTTTATCACCTCAAAAATATTGCAAAAGTGTGACCATTTCTCTCTCTGAGTGACAGAGAGAAACTAATGAATGCTTTTGTCTCAAGAAGGCTGGATTACAGTAATTCATTCCTTTCTGGTCGACCCCATAAAGTCACCAATCGGCTGCAGCTGATTCAGAGTGCTGACCAGGAGCAGAAAGAGAGAACACATTACGCCAATTTTAAAGTCCTTACATTGGTTGTACGTCAGTAATCCAATTGATTTAAAAATTGTTTGACATGGTTTTAAAGCAGCGGTATATATATCAGACATGCTCACAGTGAATGAACCGCAGCCTCTCAGATCCTCTGCCACGAGCCCTGTTAGTAGTTCCGAAGTGCAGAACAAAAACCTTTTGGCGAGGCAGCTTTTAGTTTTTGCGCTCTGCAGAAGGATATGAGAGCAGCAATTTAAATAATTCTTATGGATTTTATTTCTTAATTTCTCTTATTTAGTTTTTAGTATTAAACGCTATCTTTATACCTCTAAAATCCATTGTATTGTATTTTATTGTCACATTTATCATTGTACTGTATTTTTAAATCTAACTTATTTACTTTTTACTCCATATTATTATTTTGTCAGTCATCTGTGAAGCACTAAACTATATAAAAAGGTGCTATACAAATAAAGTTTGATTCATTGATTTAATAAAAATCAGCTTGCAGAACACTACAGACGTGTGTACACCCGCTACAGACTGAAAAATAAGTCCACCTAATCAAAGTATTGTTTAATTATCCAGGAGACATGCTGCCATGTTCAGGAACATTACATTTCTTTTAAAATTGTTCAAAGAGAAGTTAAAATGTACAGTCTTTTAAAATGTTTCCAGAATTTAAATCTCACGAACCTTTCCCCCTCAGTGCTGTAGGAAGGTTTGTAAGAAGTTGAGCATAAACTGCTACGATATTTAGATTTATAAATTAAGTCTGGTCTTTTGGCTCTGCTTCCTGTGGGATTTTCCACAGACATCTGGGTGAGCACAGTTTATAGCAGCATTAACAACAGTATTAACATCACTTCTTGTTAACTGGCACACCTTCATATAAATCACTGTTCCCCATTAAAAGCTTCTCTTCACCTCGGCTGTGTTTACCCCGCTGTGACACTGGGAAGAGGGTTTGTTAAGCGTAGTGAGGCAGAAGTGTGGTGACGTTACTTCCAGTCAGTGAACAAGAGACGCTCCGTGTTTTCTACAGTGAACTCTGGGAATTTCCAAGGGAGATGAACTTCCAGTGCACTGCAGCGATTGTAGCTTTGGGACACCCAGAAAATGTCCCCCGGGAGCTCGCTGCCTACTGGACAGAGGACTCATTTAAGTGTTACTGAGCTTCACTTTACCATGCAGGGTTCTGAGTACCACTCCATGCTACTGAAGAACTTTATCTTAAACAACAATGTGTGACAAAATGCAAGATATCTCAACAATTTGATGGCTTGATTTATAGTTGTGCCTCGCTCTACCCACGCTGGTATGAGCGTTTATACCTGTGTCTGCTTTTCTCTGCAAAAAACACTGACAAAATGACAGTTGGTGGTGCGTTTCTCTGCCACTGTGTTGAGTTTTGACTGTTCCTCATTTAGTTTTTCTCCCCGCCGCCTGTGAAACGAAAGGACGAGGGAATACAAGACAGACAAGAACATGTCATTCATCGAGGCAGCGTCCCTTGTTTGTTTGTGTGTGTGTGAGGCCAGATGTGTGTATGTGTGTGTGTGTGTGTGTTTGAAGAGGGATTGTTAACAGCATTATTAACCCATCTGGGTTTTTCACGAATCGCTTCCCATTCTCAGACAACGCGCGCACACACCGAGCCGACCAATCACAGTTGTTGCGGTCAGCGTTGCTGAGATGTGTGGTCAAATATCTGGGGAGGTGCATGTGAAGCTACGCCGTTGAGTCTATGTAGAAGTATGAATCAGGTGTCAAATACTGCAGCTTGATCAGTGGCCCTTTGTAACACTGTCGGTGGCCCCTAAAAGGTCTAGTGAATGGGTCGTCCCCTCTCCTAAGTAACGTGATTATTTCCCCCTAGTGGCTGGGCCCTGAAATACTTGCCCCCTTTTTTCCCTTCCTTATAAGCAGCCCTGTCCCTCTAGTACCATTTCGGGGACACTTATAAATCATTGAATCATAAATCATCATTAAAAAGTCCTCGTAGCTTCAGCTGTGTTTACCCCGCTGTGACACCGGGAAGAGGGTTTGTTGCCAATGTCAACGAATGCGACCGAAACTAGAAGGTTCGGTCAGGACCACTTTTGTGAAAATAACTTTTATTCCAAAGCAGAATATTACATTTGGCGGTATGGCTCTGTTCTAGGA